TATGGATTTGGGGTAAGGATACAGGGGAGGGCATGGACCTGGAGGTGGGAGCCCGGACACAAGGGGACATGGCTCCGGGGCGCAGACCCGGCCAGCCGTGCACCTGCTGTGGAGCTGGGTCTTGTCCAACAGGGAGCTGGGCCGAGGCAGGCGCTGCAGCACGAGGGGGTCCGGCGGTGGCTGTGGCCGGCTCAGCATGTGATAGCAGGCCTCGGTCTGCGCACTGTCTGAGAAGTGGGCTGGCATCCCCCGGAACAACGCAGGTGCCACGCCTGGAGGGCAGGTCGGGGTCAAACAGGCCTCAGGGGCCCCGGCGCCGGTGCCCAGCCCCCGGCCTGCCCCGCCTGTCTGTGCTCACCCCCAGCCAGGACGACCTTGGTCAGGTCATACAACTCCTCTTCCGGCTCCTTCTCCTTCTTCTTCTTCTCCTTCTTCTCAGGAGCCCGGAGCAGAGACAGTTCCTCAGGATGCCGGATACCTGAGGGGAGCTGGGACCTCAGCAGGGGCCCGGGACCTGCCCCGTGACCTCCCGCTCCACTCCTGGGTACTTTGGGGCAGGTCACGGCCCTGCAGGCGGGATAGGGAACAGGACCGTAAGGACAAGGTGACAGTGACTGGGCCTTGTAAAGCAGGGAGACCTGGCCCCTCGCAGGACCTTGCAGGGTGGAAGATGGGGGTGGGGGGTGGGGAAGCAGCAGGGGACTCACTGAGGAGGCGGCAGATGGCAGCCACCGCCTGGAAGAGGGGCTGGGAGAAGCTGGCCCGGAGGCGCACGGCGCGGCGATTGGGCAGCCGCAGGATGATGGGCCGGTGCTGGGGTCCGAAGAAGAGGCGGGCATCAGCCAGGATACCGTACTTGTCCAGTGTCCAGTGGGTCTGCAGCAGCCACTGTCTTTTCTGCTCCCACCAAATGGCGTGGTCTGACCAGTCCTGCTTGCGCTCTGGGGGGGCACGGGGCAAGGGGATGTGCATCAGCCGCGGAGGCGGCGCCGGGCGCTGAGCACAAGCGCCGTCCCTCCCCGGCCCAAGGCAAGGGCGGGCCAGGCTGGGTTGGCTTGGGGTCTAGGACTGAGGTCACGGCGGAATAGCTCTTTGCTGGCTGACCCTGCTCATTTCTCCGGGCTCAGTCGCGACCTCACTTCCCAGGGGAAGCCCCCCAACCCAGATCCAGGTGCCCCGATCTTAGTGCCTCTAGCCCACTGGGCTCCCCCACCCCCCATTCAGCACCTCGCCGGGCTTCCTGGGAACCCAGGAGGCAGAGGCCCTGTTGGATTGGAGCCTGGGACTGTGCCCGGCACGCGGCAGCGGGCACTCCGGAAACATTTCTTGGTTACGAGCTCTGTGACCTTGGCCGAGGCCTTAACCTCTCTGGGCCGCAGTTTTCTAGCTCGTGAGATGTGGGCAGTCATCACTCCGAGCCCGTGGACACCGAACGACGCCTGCGCGGTGTCTGTGACGTTTGACGCAGGCACGTGAATGCCGACGAGGGAGGAGACGGTCAGAAATGTGAAGACTTCTCTCGTGCTGCAGCTGGTGACAGGGGACGCATCTCCCTCCAGGACGGCGAGCTGAGGTGTGGTGAGCACAGGGGATGGGCCCAGCCCTCTAGAACGTGCCCAGTCCTTCCTCGCCAGCGGTGCAGGTCTCCTCTCCACCTGCACTGGCCCCTGCCCTCCCTCCAGTTCCCTCCTTAGTGTCACAGAGCTGCTTAAATGCAAGACATTCTCTGGCTCCACCTGGCCCACCTCTCAAGACGCTTGAGCCTCTGCTCTCGCTCTGTTCTTGGCTTTGTGGCACCCACTCCCCCATCTCCTCTTGCCCTTGGTTCGTGTTTTGTCCTCCTTGGCCCTTTTATCCCGGCCTGCCCCCCGTCCTTCCCTGCTCCAGGTCCCCGTCCTTCCCCAACCACAGCCTCTTCCCGGGGCTCGTCTAGTCCACAGCTTCGTCTTCCTGCTCCGATCCCCAAACTCACGGCACCTCAGGGTCAGGCCCTGCCCCGTGCCCCAGGCCAGAAACCCACACGCCCACCGGCTTTGGCCATTCCAGAAACTAGTTCACCAGGCCTTGCACCTGACTCAAGCGTTCGTGGTGGGTGAAACTCACTCTGCCTGATGCTGGACAGAGGCTCTTCTCCCCGCTTGCTGACTTCTCAGCACGGGTGACAGGACCTCCCTGCCAGGCCTCAGCTCTGTCTCTTTCACTTTTAGCCTCCACATTTAATCGGTGCCAGTCTCACCCTCCTGCCCATGCTCACTACCCACGGTAAGAGGCCTTGTCTCCCTGCTTCCAGCCCACCCCCTACCTGAGGGGCCTGTCCACATGTGAGCCTTAGCCACTGAAAGGCCCTTCGGTGGCCACTTTCCACCTCCGGGGTAGTCCAAACTCCTACCGGCGACCACCCCAGTCTCTTCTGGTCACACTCCGGGCGTCCTCCCTGGCCTGGAGGCCCCAGTTCGGAACACCCCCATGCTCCAACATCACCCCTTGCCCTCCCGGTGATGGGCCCCCTGTCGGGACTCTCCCGGGGAGTCTCCCTGTCCTGGCTCCAGCCCCCGTGCCGTCTGTCTCTCCCCCTGTCCTGGCGGCTGTGGGGTCAGTCTCACCTGCCGGGCCACACTCCAGGTGGCACGGGGTTTGGCTGGACTGAGCCCCAGTAGACATTGATACACTAAGGAATGGGCGGGATTAGGAGGGGTGGGGACAATGTCCCCATTGCGGGGGACAGGAGCCGAAGGGATTTTCCCCGGTGGGCCCAGCAGTGCGTGGAGGGATCAGGTCTGCCTGTCTGTCTGTCTGTCTCCTCGTTTAGGCCTCTTGCAATGCTCGCGTGCCCCGCCAGGAAGCCGACCAGCTCTTCCCTTGGGGCCCCATCTCTTCGCCCCCTCTGCCTTGGCTCAGCCCGGGCCCATCGGCCTCTTGGTCTGACACCCAATCTCCTGAGGGACCCTCTGTTCCCCACTTCTGCTTTCATAGCCTCCTGGGTGCTGCCTGTTGGACCCCCCCCACCCCCCCGCTACCTCAGCCTTGTGGCCAGGCTGTCCCCGGGGTGGGGGGCCCGTCCATCCACAAGCCAACTAATCTGCCTCCCAGGCTGCACGTGATGGGGTGGCTGGGTCTGAGGAGGCCTGCCC